GCAGGTCCTTCCTCCCTGCAGCTGTCAGACTGTACAATCAAAACTGCTCCCAACAAACAGATGTTTACATCTGCGCTGTAACTGCAATAATTTAATCAACCAATTCGCACTACAACCTGCTTTACCTCTTATCTGTAGTTATTTTTATTTCACTTAATAATAGTACAGTACTCTGTTTATAGTAACCAATATCCTTAATCTAAATATGTAAGAAAAATTGCGTATGTTTCTGTTCTGTGTCCTGTGTACTGTTTGTTTGTATATGTGTCTTTCTGGCTGCTGTTACAGCCAAATTTCCCCTTGTGGGACAATTAAAGGATTATTCTGTTCTACTCTGAGTACTCAAAGCACTTTACACAACTTGTACATTCACTTGAGTACTTTTGGTGTCGAACTCCTCGAGGGCCGGCGTCCTGTAACTTTTCCATGTGTCCCTGCTGCAACACAGCTAAATAATATTAGTTGGTCGTTAGAAAGACTGTATAGAACTGGACTGCAGGTGGCAATTCAGCCATTTGATTCATGTCACAGCAGCTCCTGAGTGAATGAATAAGGTGCAATAAAAGTACTTTTAGAAATACATTTTTTCTTTAAAACTTGCACTTTTATTTAAATATACTTGAGTAGGGTTAGGTGTCAGGTGTGTTGCAGCAGGGACACATGGAAACACTTCAGGATACCGGCCCTCGTCATTGTCATTCCTGTGCTTACTATCTAACATTCATATGCATTCATACTCCGATGGATGCATCGGCGTTAGCATCTTGCTCAGGGATATTTGGCATGCAGACTGGAGCAGACTGGGATCGAACCCCTGACCTGCTCTACCACCTGAGCTACAGCCAACCCCAGAAGCTTGCCAAAGAGAGCTCAGGCTATGTTGGTGAATTAGGATGTTCATTCCAGACATTGACTTTCAGCCTTGTAAGAATTGTACAAACTCTGCTTTATCCTTACAAACTATATTTCCCTGGTTGTTTGGTCATGTTTCAACTTCCCATTTCCCTGGCAAAGAAATGAGGGGTGGATCAAGACTTCTGAACAGTTGGAATATCTTGCACTTAAATGTAAAGACAGTGATCAGAATTTGAAAATAAAGTTAATCTGTCACATAAATACATACAGTCTAATAAGCAAGAGCTTGCTAAAACTCTAACCACTCTTAACGTGTACATATAAACCCATGATACTTGGTATCTATAAATGGGCACACAGCCAGTGGATCCTTCAGCTAGTCCTGCTATGATGAATTACCAGTATGGATACTGGGAGTTATGCAGCCAATGAACTGCTGTAACCCAGATTCCTTAAGATGGAGAACAGCGTGAGTTCTGGTTGAGACCTGAAAAGAAAAGTCATCTGTCTGCTTTCATGTAAAACACACCGAGGTTCCCTGACTGCACTGCCTGTGTGTGTGTGTGTGTGTGTTTTCACCTCACTCCGAGATGCAACAGCGCGATGGAGAGGGGTCAGCCACATGTTATCTTTGGCGTTGACACGTGCCCCTGCAGAGCAGAAACACAGCATGGCAAACACGAAAAAGATGTAACTTCACGTTTACAAAGCACTCTGGAAATTTCCTCACAGCTCCAGGAAACACAAGCCTTCCACTTCCATCAACTAACATGAGCCTTAGATGCATCCATACGATGATTACTTTCACCAGAAAATGATGAAGCATATTGAGGGCGACAGTCAGGACGCTAGTGGCCGGGCTACGTAAAGTTTTAGCCAATTTAATATTATCAAAACAATGTAGGGGTTTGTTTGTGTGTTTGTTTTTAAATTGGACACGAGCTAACTGTATTTTATCTGGGATGCTTTAAATGTCATAAAGCTCCACATCTACATTCATTCAATAAAAAACAACAACAAAAACAGCTGAAATCTGCAAGAAAGACGTGGCGTGTTTTACCCGAGAGGATGAGGAGTTCGGTGATCTCGCCATCGCCCAGGAAGGCTGCTGCATGCAGCGGAGTGCGCTTCTCTGCATCCTGATGGAGGAACAGTGGTGCGTTATGAGACAAGTGACCCTCCCACATATGAGCACATGTCACACAGTTACAGTCCTAATTGTCTTCTGGCAATTTTCCCTCTGTGATGGTTTCTGTTATCTGCTTGTATGACTTTGCGGCTGTTTGATCGAGTCTCTGTGGTTGTTGTCGTGGGGGGGGTTGCCCCTTTGTGGTCGTTTCTGTGTCTCTGTGTGACAGTTATATGTGTCTTTATGTTTCTTTGGGGGTGTTTTTTGTCTATGTGTGGCTCTTTTGTACATGCTTGCAGTTGTTCTGCATTTTTCTCGAAGGCAAAGCCAGTCTGCACAGCAACATTTAGAGCGCTCTGTGGAGTTTTCCTGTAAACACAAAAGCCTCTGTTTACATTTACCAAACATACAGCGTACCATCAACAGATGGATCTGATAACCAAATCTATAAGTATTTAAATCCAGCGCTATTTCCATTCATGCAGCTGGTATGAGGTCACAGATGAGTAGAGGATCAGTGACCTCGTGCTCAGGGCGTCTCATTGAATAAATGCCCATCACACTGGCTGAGTGGGCTGACATAAGCAGAGAGGACAGCCCCGACATGTGTTGTGTATTTATACCCATATGAGCAGATGTGTAAATAAACACTCACCCTGAACTCTGATTTTACTGATTCTTAACTCGGAGCCCTAATTCCCTCATTCTAAAACAGGAAGTGGGGGTTGGAACGAAGAAAAAGGTGGTTGCCACCGAGTCCAGTTTTATTTCCCTAAAAGCTGACTTTGGGCAAAGGAAACTTTTTCTGCACTAAAACATGCACGCTTACAGACGATGGCGAGAACACAAGTGCTTTGTGTGAATATTTGTGTCCTGGATGAACAGAGTTATGGTGAAACCACGTAAATTAGATTGATATTCTTTATAAATTCAGCACATGCAGGGTGAACTTTTTATCATGTGTCACTTATACACATCTGTCATGTGTATAAATGTAGAAACCAAGAGCTAAAAAAAAAAAAAAAGCTCACTCTTCCTCCACTTCACAGCAGCAGCCAGTGAGGTAAGTACCTGCATACAGTTTATTTGTGAATACAAACCATCTGCTCTGTGGAAAATATGAATAGGTGAGTGTGTCACATGCACAGAGACAGAATGCCTGTTTGGTGTACATGTGACCATACCAGAGCATTGATGTCTTCAGACTTGTATATGAGCATACGGATCTCTTCAGAATCTCCACTGAAGATTGCCTGGATGAGAGGAGGCTGTGGGGACGAGAAAGAACAGTCACGTGACCACTACGGACGTTACAAAAGGCTATGATCCTTCCCACGGTATGAAGTGCTGCCTATGTGTGCAGTACTTAAAGCTGCAGCGTGTACAAAAACTGCAGACTGTACACAAAAGAAATGCAGGCCTTCCCTTACTTCTTATATCTCCCGTTTCTCTGTGAGACAGAGAAACTAGTGTGGAAAATTTTTGGTAGATACACATCACAAAAATAAAAAAGGGCTCAGTGTCTCCGATGCCCCTATTATTCTTTTCAGGATGAGAGAGGTGAGGTAAATACAGGCCCAAACAGCAGATATCAGAGGCTTTTGAAGAATGCAAAAACACAGAAAACTGGGACAACATGTGGCGGACTTAAAGGCCAGTTTTTAGGTTCAGGTTCATGCAGGTTTTGCTAAACAGTATTAAAGCCAAATATGTTCTTTAAATGTTTGTATTAAATAAATAAATAAATTTAACAATCAAAATTGTCACGAGTGAAACAGCAGCCAATGTCCAAAGGCAAACCCTGAAAAGGAAGATTCTGACAAATTAGAACAAGTTCTGGTTCTTTGGAAGCAAAGTATGGGAATATCATTTTTCCTGATTACATTTCTGTTAACGATTAACCTGTTTTGAAACAAGCATGGATTAAATTCTGAAACACAATCATGATCTATGCGCTGACATTATATAAACTCATGACTTTTTAAAACTGTACCTCTATTTTCTACTTTAGCCTATGAGGATTGCAGGTAATGTACCCAGTTTAGGTTCAGTTTATCTCATTCTGCTTAATCTATTAAATTATCAGCTAGCTTTATTTTGTTTAGGTTATTGTATCTAATGTACAATAACCTAAACAAAATAAAGTCATTATCACTGGTGTTATACTATTTGGGCTAAAATAGCAGGTGATGTTAGCTTGTTCAGGCTAGCAAAGGAGCTAACTATTCTTTTTTTTAGGCTAGTATGTTATGTTGCTATGATATCATTGTCATAGCAACATCAGTAGCAGGTTAATATCATTACAAAAAATTTTAAGCATTAATATCTAAATATGTTTCTTTATTGTTATTTTTATAAATTATTAATATTCTGAAGGCGGCAAATTTGTATTGGGGAACAAGAGTAACAGGATGCTAAGGACTACCAGTTTTTAGAAAATGATTTTTTTAAAGACAACAGCAAATGCTCCCATTTGAAAACGTGAAAAACAAACAGATATAGCTCCTTTACTTAACCTCTTAAGCCCCAACGCCCCCTGATACAGGGGCAAAAGGCAGGAGATCAGTTAGGCTTGGTGCTTAAGAGGTTAAAAAAAAATACTAAAAACACAATTACAAATATAGTCAAAATGTCTCAATTTAAAAATTTGCAAAATTGAAAGCGAAATGTAGATGATGTGTAGATTGTGCTCATTGTGTTATTTATGAACCAGGCTGAGCAGAGGGAGGCCTCACTTCACTTCCTGTGCGTTTCTGCTACTCCTGCCTCACTTCCTGTTACACAGTCTCTCCTTCTCAGAAACCTGAGAGAGGAACCAACCACAGAGAAGTTTTTCACTTCTGCTTTAAAAAATACAGCATGCCACAACACTTCTTCCTCATCTGACTGTTTCATTCCCCTGAATGTAATTTTGCTGCAGCATCCATCATCTCACTCACTGCTGAGAGTGAAGGCAGACACGTGTGCACAGCATGTCGCAGGACTGTAGCTGTTACTTTTACTTGCAGTACACAGGAGTTGCTTTTCTACCACACTAATGTTTAAAGCTGCTAGTTCAGATCAGATCTAATGTGTAACACCGACAGAGTCACACAATAATGCAAATGAGCTCATCTATGCTCGTTCCCACACTCACAAAGTTGCAGTGATGGAGTCAGGATTATAGGCATATTTAGCTCGATGCTTAGTGGCTGTAACAAAAACACTCAGCTGGCATCTCTCAGGAGTTGGCTGGTACTACCACAAGAAGGCAACGATTCATAGGATGTGTCAGGGGAATACCTTAGTAGAAAAGCTAGTGTCCTCTGTTGGGAACTCTAGTAAATAAATCCAATAACTCAGAGAAATGTTAAGTGAGAAATGCAGTGAAGCTTGAGGAAGACAGGTTTAGACAGGAAATGACATCAGGACTTGGCTTTCTGCACTAGTCTTCCTGGTATATCATCCCCACAGGCTATTTCAAACACAGGAGCTCATTATTGCAGCTTGCACACATTCACGCACGCAAACACACACACACACACACACACACACACACTTCCCATTAGCCTTAAGGCAGAACCAATGTGACCAACATCCCGTTAGTAACCAATAACGTTGAGAAAATGCTCTTCAACGTGCAGTGTCAGCCAGCCGGTAACAGCCAAACATATTTGGCCATAACATATGACTTTTTGTGTTAAGGATCTAATAATTATATATTTTAAATAAAAGTCACACTTCTTCTATTCTAAAGTTCAAGTATGTCAACTGTTTAAAAGGCCCAAACTCTATAAATCAGAGAAATCGAACACATGCTCACACAAGAGCTACTAGGAGAAAGTTTTTGCAGTAACTCTGAAAGCTGATGAATATTTTTACTACTTTTTTCCAAGTATGTGCTGATTTCTGTTAATGACTATTCTGTCCCTAAAAAGGTCATGTTCTCAACTCACTTGGAAAATGTTATGTAATGAAATCAGCACAGAAGTTATTTTCAGCCCTTTTTTCCAGACGTATTTAAACTTACTGGTATACAGACGCAAGGATCACGTATGGGGATATTTAGCAAATGGGTAGAGGATGAGGGATAAGTTAAAGAGGAACAAAAGTCAAAAAATACAAGTACTGTCAAGGAAGGAAAGATTTGCAGCGGTGTGGTGACTACAGACCAAAGAAAGTCAGTGACGTTCAGCAGTTTCAAGTGACTACTGGCAAAAAAACAAAACCACTAGTGCCTTGAAGTAGGCATGTCCCAATATAAACCAACTCAACTTTGAGGTGTGCAACCAATGAGACTGCAGAACACATATGACTCTGTAATAAATACATTAAAGGTTCTCCATTCACTGAAATTAAAAACAAAAGACAATGTTGATCTCTTTAAATGTTACTGTTTTATGACATCTACACCTGGTGTAATCCTCTACAAAGCCTGGATTTAACAACAGTTCATAGGGATGCGGGAGATGTTTTTAACACTAGTAACTAGTCAGGAGCCATTGTTGTTTGTGGAGTAGCAATGCTGCCAAAGGCTAATGTTAGCTTAACATTTATGAAAGCACCTGACCTTATTTTTCTTTGGTCTAAATCAGTAATTAATAGAACCCTGTTTGGGCCACAAACAGCAGAAGACGTGGAAATTCACTGAGCTTTATTTGTTGGTGCAAAAATGAAGCCAAGATAAAAGTTCCTTAAACCTAAATTCCACGTGAAGGCCAAAGACGTGGTTGCAAGACGACTTCCAGTCTTATAGAAGTCTACAAGAAAATACCTCACTCACTCATTTTTGATCATACTGATGAAAAAGATCTCTTTTGAAAATCTTGTTCGTACCATGATTCAAAATCGAGGATTATCCATGGGAAGACACCGCACACTCATGGGTAACAAGCTGTCAATAAGGAGTCATTAACCAATGAGCACGCAATTTCACAGTCAAACCTGCTCATCCTCGGTACGTCCATTTCTTTGCAACAGCAGAAACACTAATCTTGAGACGTCGAAACAGATTTCACCAATCAATGGGTGACATTGTGTCTGGCTAACTCAGCTACAGTTCATAAGGTGACCTGGAAGCTGCTTCTAACTTTTTAAGTAGCTTTTGCTGCATGTGAACTGTGACATTCAAATCTCACAAACACCAATATGCATACATTCACTAATGTACTAATGTAGTCCAGTTTAGATTCATCAATCAGCTACCATTAACATGTTTTGGCTTATGCTATCCTGTTTAAGCTAATGGAGTGCTGCTTCTAAAAGCAAGCTGGGTCATTAGCATTCAGTACATGTGTTTTTTGGGGGAATTTCTGAACACTGATTTTACTAATCATGAACAAGAACCGAGTGGAACCAGCTATTAGAACCTGAGGTTCTGGGCCGGTGCAGGACAATCCTCTCTCCACCTTATACTGCACAAACATCCTGCATCTGATTACCAATGTTTTCATTCCACTGGCATCCTCCAAACACACTAGCAGGCTAATCTGAAATATATGTGCTCTGCAACAATGCCTTAATTTCCGCTGATGCCTGAGGTAACAGGCCTCATACTGGCTCAGTCTCTTCTCCTCAGGCTCAGTGGCACACTTCAGACTTCCTCAAACAGTGAAAGCGTAACAAGTTTCGTTTTGTCCTTGTAATTACCTGGAAACGTTCCTTGTAATTTCCTGAACACGATCCACTATTCAGCTTTGTAAAGACAATCCTATGGTTTGGGGCTAATTATAAAGAAAGTTGAGAACGTTTTGAAAGTTGAGTTTAACACGAACAATTACGTATTTGAAAAGGACAAAATCGTTCCCATTTACTTCTGTTTGCAGTCATTTTTAAAGAGGTCTCAATGTTTCACCTGCTTCAAATCGTGTGCACATCTACAACAGACACATAACTGTGCTTTGGCACAAAGTCAGAAGTCAACGACTTCCTGTACTTCCTTTGCGTTCTGCGATGAGTTTTTTTTTTACCCCACAGAGTCTTTCATTTCCACGCACGCACAAAAAACGAGAGAGAAAAAAAAAAGTTGATGTTTATTCACAAACACATCCGAGGAATTTTAGACATGACGTCAACCTCGGAATCAATCCAGCAGATGACAAGTTAAAAGAGACGTTACAGCAGTGGGATTGTTATGGTACCCGCTGTTGATAAGCCCGGGATGAAAAGAAAAAAGTCTGAGGCATCCAGTTATCAGGCATCATCAGCATGTCTGAAAATAACAGGAAGTGCTACACTTCTAGGTCATACACACAGACACACACACACACACACACACACACTCTGACAGCAGCTCTTGCTTCCCTCAAGACATATCTCACATGGCCACATGAGAGCTCTGCAGAGAGATGCTGAGTCGGTTAACGTTGAAAAAAAATCTTAATGTGAGATTAGGAAGGACCTCTGAGGGTCGTGATTCTCAAAGTCCTGTTTTAATAGGCGGTGTTGCTTTTGAATTTTTATTTACAAAATCACGTACTTTTACACTTCCATGCTCACATCTGCTCAGAGAGGTGTGTATCTGTGCTGCTGCCCACAGAGAGATCTTTGTAGTCACTGTGTATCTCTTCATTTTCTGCCCATATGTAGCTGGTTGTCTATGTGCAGCCATCATTTGTCTATTTGTAGCTATTGTGTGTCTTTGTTATCAACAACTATCTCTTTGTAGCCAGTAAGTGTCTCTTTGTAGCAATATTGTGTCCTGTAGCTGTTACAAGTTTCTTTGTAGCCTTTAAATGTTTCTTTGTCACGTTTGTGATTCTTTTTGTAGCAGTTTGTCTAATTGTACTTTTTAACCAGTGTGTGACTGTAAAGTAACATAACAGTCGCAGACTGTGCCCGAGTTTCAAATGTAAATGTTCAAATTTATATTTCTCTGAACACCTTTAGGGCTGCTTGTTTATGACTTGTTTAAATAAAAATTCTTATTTTTCAACCTCTGCTGAAGAGTACTGTACACATCATGTCAAGTATGTCTCCTTGGGACAATTTAAATTTTTGGAGTTGGAGGTCATTTTGGAGGTCCTTCACAAGGAATCTGAAACATGACAGCACTGCTGACATACAGCCAGTAAGCATTTCTAACATTTTCATTGTGGGGCACAGGTACAGGGACCATACAAATGCACTCTTTGTCAAAATGCAAGCTATTAAATTCCAAGGCTTGGTGCAGCTTAAAACAGCGCAAATAATGTATAAAGTAAGAAATAAATTGCTTCCAAAAGAAATCTGTAAATTGTTCATAGAAAGAGAAAGTGGGTATAACTTAAGAGGGAAATGGAATTTAAAAATACAAAGTGCTAGAACAACTTTAAAAACTACGTCTATCTCAATTGCAGGAGTTAAATTATGGAACAGTCTAACAGAAAAGAAAGTAAAAACATAAACCAGTTTAAATTAAAATATAAAAACCTAATTTTAAATAAATATAAGAATGAAGAAAACAGGGTTAACCCAGGACGGTAATGTTGCTGGAAATGCTGTTTCAGTTCTTTTTGGGGGTTTTTTTGTTTGTTTTTCCATAACTTGTGAATCTGCAAAGTTACACATTCTGTATTTTTCATATGAAAGAAACTATACTGTGGTGGGGTTTGCTTATTTCTTGTTTTTGATTTATGTATGTTTGTTTTGTTTTGCTTTATTTTTGTTTCATATGTTGTTTGTTTAATTTAAGACTAAAAGAATTTGCTCGATTTGTTGATATCTTGAAATTAACAAGAGCCAAACTGACAGCTGTGAATGACTTCAACTAATAATTCAAACCTCAAATTTAGTCTGTGTACTTTAAATTCAAAGAAAAAAGAAAAAAAAAGAAACACTGTGGTTGAAAAATTGAGTTTCAAAAAAATGGACAGGTTAAAATCATTTTAATATTATACTGAATAATTCATCAAGTAAATATTTCAGCCAGAATTCTACATAAAAATTGTCTGATTAAATCACCTTCAAAATAAAATATTCTCTAAGCTCCTCTTCGACATGTTCAAGGTGAAACAATCAGTCAATAAACAGAAAAAGAATTTCTTTAAGAAAATTTTTAAAACAATACCCACTGAACGAAGATTTTAGCTTTTTCAAAGACAACTTTAAATTTTGCGGTTTAATTACAGAGCACAATAGCTTCTGATTATCAGCTAGTTCATTAATTCACAGTTTACCACTGAACAGAGTAGAAAAGCACTATATAAGAAGAAAAGCAGGATCTATAAGAACAAAAGACATACTTGGCTTTTGTTCATTTTTACCAAGAAGCAAGTTTAATAAGTCAGTTACAGATTAATTACACTATACTGTGTGCACCAAAATGCACATTTTATATGAGTGTTTTTAAAAGATTTTAAATGAAATGATGATAAATCAATCTCATGGGCAAAAGATGGCCCAGAAGTAGAAGCAATACAATTTACATGGGCTGAGTGTTACTACTCTGCAGCATTTCAGAAACTGGCCAATGGGTTTGAAGGCGGACTTTTAGGGAGGGGACCTTAAAGAGGAAGGAGCTGAAGCAGCCTGATTCAGACAGGTTGCACTGAGAGGATGCATAAAGAGTCAGTGATCCAAACTTACAACTGTGAACTGTGCAAGTCTATTTTTAGCAAAGTCCAAGAATACAAAGCTTGAAAGTATTGTTTTCAAACTTAGGGGCCTTCCCTGGGAAATACTCGGGTACTTTGACTTCAACACAGTAGTTACTGAAGACATTAACAGCTTACAGGAGGAAACAGAACAGGAAATGTGTCTCACAGATGAGCTGTCACCATTTTAACGACATTTACAACAAATAATAAGGCCATTTTCTTTTTTTAGTGTTATGCTAATTTATTGATAGAGTCCTGTGCCCAATCTGTAGGGAAGGAATCTATTTTATTATTTTCTAGGCTGTATAAAACTAAATAGCACAACATGTGCTACTGAAACACTTTCCTACCACACAGAAGGAGAAATGCTGTGCTTCTGCAGGTCTGAAAGCTAAGCTAACTGGCTAGCTGGTCCTACCTGGTCGGCCAGTTTGAGAACAGCCATCTCTGGGTCAGCTCTGGCTGCACATCCACTCCCTCCGACACCGCAGCACCATGCACGGTGCGATGCTGAGCCCCGCTCCGCCTCTCCTTTCTCCGCTCTTCCCACGGGACTTGAGGCGACTAGATGTAGCGGTGTGGCTTTGTAGCTCTCTAGGAGTCTCACGGGCAGACGCTGAGGGTGATGGAGGCCGGGCCGAGCACCAGGGCCATCAGCCCCGTTCCACTGACGCTATCTGCGGCTACGCTGCTGAGCACAGTCGGCCGCTCGGAGTCGCTGGGAGGCGGGGAAGCAGGAACGGCTCGACCGACCGGTGTAAACAATCCACATTTATGGCTGCTGCTGCTGATCTTCTGTTGATGCTTCTGCAAGAATATTCCAAGCGTCTCTGCGAGCTGTACACCGCCCACAGAAGGCTCTCTATCCCCCAGACTGCACAGCCTGTAAGCCTCCCAGAGAGGCAGCCAGGGTGAAGTCAGCTGAACGGAGATCACACAGGAAGTTCGTGCTTGTCTCTTTAGATGCAGAAGTGGAGGAGAAGCTTCCTCAGCATCAACAACAAGCAGAATACCCCTCGCTGCTGCCATCCACTGGATACAGAGAGAGGCCGAAGCGCAGTTACACGATCCAAAAATAAGTAACACAAAGCATGAAAAATGAATGCGTGTAAAGAGAGATGGCTGTGATGACTGCAGTGATGTAGGTTATATAAAGATGTAGTGTAATTTTCATTCCAGATATTTGTTCATGAATTAGTCCCACTTCAAGTGACAAATGTAATTTCTGATAAGATGGGCAGACATCAAGCACCATGTAGACAGAGCAGATTGTTCTTTGTGGACTAAAACCAGTTTAATCCATCCATCCTGCCTGGGAGCTCCATATTCCACATCTGCTATCCATCCTCTGCACATGTTGATACCATCTCAGGCTTGCCTCTAACGCTGTCTCCAAAATGCTCAATCTAAACTGTCCCTCCGATGTACTAATTTCTAATCCTGGTCCTACTGAGATGAACACTTTAACGTCTTCAGCTCTGCCACGTCCAGCTTGACTTCCCATCTTTTTGTTAGTGCTACAGTCTCCAAAACACACTACATGGCAGCAGGTCTCACTACCATCTTGTAAACCTTCCCTTTCATATTCATCTTCACCCACTCCACTTTGTTTGCACTCTCTTCTATACACTTCATTTCACTTTTATTTGTAGAGCACCAAAATCGCAACAGAAGTCACCTCAAGAAGCTGTGGTCTTTAAGGCAAAGACCCTACAATAATACTGAGAAAACCCCAGCAATCAAATTCCTCCTTTGAGAAGCACTTGGCGACAGTGGGAAGGAAAAGTTTTTAACAGGAAGAAAGCTCCGGCAGAACCAGGCACAGGGAGCGGCAGCTATCTGCCCTCACCCAGATCTTTGTGCTGTCCGTTGGTTCTGATGGTTGACCCCGGGTATTTAAACTCATTTACCTTCACTCTCTGTAGTCCTTGCATGTTCATCTTTTCACTGGTCTATCTCTCATTCACACATATGTGTTCTGTCTTGCTTTTACTAACTTTCATTCCTTTTCTCTCCAGTGCATACCTCCACCTCTCCATACTCTCCTCCACCTGCTTCCTACTCTGCAAACATCCTGGCTGCCATCATCATCAACCTGTCCATTGCCGCTGTGAACAAGAAGGGGCTCAGAGCCAATCCCTGATGTAATCCCACCCCCACTTTGAACACCTCCGGCACTCCTTCCAGACATCTCACCACTGTCTTGCTGTCCTGACTTCCTCGTGCATTTCTACAGTTCCTCTTTCTCAAGATCCACAAAGAATTGACAGTCACAGTGCAACTCTCGACCTCTACACTTCTCTATTAACACCCTCAAAGCAAACATCACATCTGTAGTGCACTTTTTTAGCACAAAGCCATTCTGCTGCTCACAGTTCATCACCTCTCTTCTGCTCTACAGTTGTGGTGAACATTTTACACACTCCTGGTGTACAGGGACCTTGGTGGTCCGATCCTGGCTGCTCCAGTCTCAAGTCTGCATCCCTAAGTAACTAACTCATCTCAGTTCCTGCCTACATTCTCCCCCGACACCACCTTGCAGTCTCATATGTTTTTCGGATTGCACTTTCTGTAGTAGAAGTACTCCACCTGTGTGCACCTTCCTACTTTCTTATAGATCATCCAACTTACTCCAGATTTCCTTTCTTTTCTACCTGAAATCCAACCTTTAGTGCACTGACCCCCACTGCTCCTGGCTTTGCTTCTCTTACACCTGGTCTGTGCAAGTCATATATCTATCTTTCCTTCTTTCCATCGTGTTATCCAGCTCTCTTCCTTTGCCGATCACAGTCCCTACATTTAAAGACCCAACTCTCAACCCCAAACTCCTGCCTTTCCTTCTCTCTCGTCTCTGAAGATGCCTTTCCCCTTTCTTCTTCTTCCATTGTCTGCAACAAACATAGTTTATGAACAGTGAGTACACTGGCTTGTGGCCCAGCCATGGCTGGGTTAGACTAAACTTTAAACCACATCTTTACCCTAAAACATTGTGATTTAACTCGTGTAGACTTTTTTTTTGTCCCTACAAGGAAGTTTTAGAGGGCAATACATAACTTATGACTTACATTATTATCCTGAATATTTCCAAACCTAAACTTAAGATAAATATTCCCCCTAAAATATAACCATCTACCTTTTGGGGACTGACTTTTTTGTCCCAGTAAGGAAGTTAAGAAGCCACAGTACAAGCACACAGTCTGTGTGGTTTTCATGCATTTCTGTTAGTTGTGCGTTCTAAAGGTTATAACGGAAGGAAACTGAAGGAAGTACGGTGCTGTGCTGTCTCTTGAACTTTTACTCACAGAGAAATGTCTCAATAGACTCTGGATGGTTCTCGTAGGGTAAATAATAACGACACAAGTCTTCTTGTAGTCCAATGAAAAATTTAGCCAAACCGAGACCGAGACCTCAAATCCTGACATTCAGAAGCTGATGCAGCAAAATATGTGATCATACCAGTCACTTCCATAACTGTTGCATGAGACAACACAAAAATCAGGCCTATATTATTCTAATTTTAGCCAAATGTAATATTTTTTTAGGTAGAATATAACATGTAAGTTTACATACATGCAGCAATGATTTGCAAATCTCATAAAACCATATTTTTTCACAAAAGAACAGAGAAGATATGTTGGGTGTTTAATTGGAGGGGGGGGGATCACTGTGTAGCAACCCCTCTTTGTTTAACAGCAGTCCGATTCTTGTCTCATATTAGATTGTGGCTGCTCAACAGTCCTGACTCTTCTGCTATAAAGTCATTGGAAAAGCTGAAGTATGCAGTTTAGCATTGTCTTTCTGAAAAATGTGAGGCCTTCAATGAAAAGTATGTGATATGGATGGGATTATATCTTTCTCTAAAACCAGTATGTACCTTTTAGCATTACAGACATCCCCCAAGTTTCCAGATGGAACTGAGCAATGATAACAAGCCAGGTGGTCAGTCTATTCTTTAGTCTGGAGGATGCCCGGTTCATGATTTCCAGAAACGAATTTCAAAGTTCAGTTTATCGTGGGGCGATCATGGCTCGAGTTGGCAGTTCGTCTTGTAATTGTGAAGTTGCCGGTTCGAGCCCCGGCTCCGACAGTCTCGGTCGTTGTGTCCTTGGGCAAGACACTTCACCCGTTGCCTACTGATGGTGGTCAGAGGGCCCGGTGGCGCCAGTGTCCGGCAGCCTCGCCTCTGTCAGTGCGCCGCAGGGTGGCTGTGGCTACAATGTAGCTTGCCATCACCAGTGTGTGAATGTGTGGATGACTGAATGTAGTGTAAAGCGCTTTGGGGTCCTTAGGGACTAAGTAAAGCGCTATACAAATACAGGCCATTTACCATTTTTTTTACCATTTATCTGAACACAGAAGAGTGTTCCGCTTTACCTTAGTGGATTTTCAATAAGCTTTCACCCAGGTGTTTTGGGATTCCTGAGTCCATGCAGTGATTACCTTAACATAATCATGCCGTCTGAGTGCTTGGAGGTCATGGGCATCCAATATTGATTTTATGGCTTGACCGTTGTGAGATTTCTCCAGATTCTCTGACTCTTTTGTACTGTACATGAGGAGGAGGAGCATCACTGTGAAACTGTTCCATAATTAATAGGCAGTGTTTTGCAGATTGGGGAAGATCTGTCCACTGTTACTTCTGAGAAACGATGCCTCTCTAAGATGCTCCTTTTCACTCAAGTCATGCTACCAGCATGTTGGCACTTACTTTACCTCGTCAATGTTTTCCTTAAAAACAAACAGAAGTTTTGCTTGATTTACTCTGCTCTGCAGTAGCGTTGCTTTTCATCCACAGATAAAAATCTTTTTTATCTTACCCTGGGTCTTGACACAGCTGTTCCGATTTGGTGCTGTAGCCCCTGGTTTTGATGACATGTGGGATGGTGTGTGGCTATTTACCACAAGAGGGACATCCACACTTAGTGGCATCATCTAGAGCAGGGGTAGGCAAATCCAGGCCTCAAGTGCCGGTGTCCTGCAGGTTTTAGATATCACCCTGGAGCTTAAGGATTTTTAACGATATTCTCTCAACTATGGACTCTGGCAGCCCTGCTGCCCTTTTATTGTTGGACGTGTCAGCAGCTTTTGACACGGTTGATCACGACATCCTGTTATCACGGCTAGAATCGCATGCTGGCCTAAAAGGATCTGCCCTTCAGTGGTTTCGCTCCTACTTGACAGAAAGGTTCTTTTATGTCAATATGGGCC